GGCGATTCCGGGCGTGACACCTCTTCGTGAGGGCTACAACCCTGCTACGTGGATGTTGGAGTGCATCGGTGCAGGTGTAAGTCACATGCACGACAACCCGGTGGACTTCGTTGAAGTTTTCAACTCCAGCGAGATGAAACAGGAAATGGACGCACACTTGGCTTCCGAGGGTGTGACTGTACCAGTTCCTGGATCCACAGAGCTCGTGTTCGCGAAGAAACGTGCAGCGAATTCTTGGACACAAATGACGGCTCTGGTGGAGCGATTCATGAACTTATACTGGCGCACACCGTCGTACAACCTGACTCGATTTGCAATCGCACCGCTTCTTGGCTTGCTGTTCGGCTTGATTTACGTGAGCGTGTCGTACACCTCGTACCAGGGAGTCAACGCCGGTGTCGGTATGGTATTCATGACGACGCTATTCAATGGTGTGGTAGCCTTCAACAGTGTCCTACCCATTACGTCTCAAGACCGCGAGGCATTCTACCGTGAGAGAGCAGCACAAACGTACAACTCACTCTGGTACTTCGTGGGTTCTACCGTGGCTGAGGTTCCCTACGTCTTCGGTTCAATGCTGTTGTACACGGTCATCTTCTACTGGTTGGTGGGCTTTTCCGGGTTCTGGACTGCTGTTCTCTACTGGATCAACACGTCGTTCCTGGTTCTGCTGCAGACTTATCTCGGTCAACTGCTAGTGTACGCGCTGCCGAGTGTGGAGGTTGCTGCTCTGTTGGGTGTCATGCTCAACTCGATTCTCTTCCTCTTCATGGGTTTCAACCCGCCGGCCAACGCCATTCCGTCCGGTTACAAGTGGCTTTACACGATCACTCCTCAGCGCTACTCGCTTGCCATCCTTGCTGCCCTCGTGTTCAGCAAATGCGACGATCTCCCCACCTACGACACGGCCACACAGCAGTACGTGAACGTCGGTGGTGATCTTGGCTGCCAGCCCATGACAAATCCGCCTGTGAGCATCGACCACATCACCATCAAGGAATACGTCGAGTCCGTGTTCGAGTACAAGCACGACGAAATCTGGCGCAACTTCGGCATCGTCCTCGCGTTCATCGTGGGTATTCGCCTCCTTTCTCTGCTGTCGCTGCGCTTCATCAACCACCAGAAGAGATAGATACAAGTCCACATGACACCCTTTAAGGCAGTAATACTTACACATACAACACGTACCTCTGCACCACTACACCTTGTCATTGTTGCTGCCTGTATGCATTCAAAGGCAACCACACGGACCCTGCAAGTATAACGAAATATTTCCAACTTGACTTCCAATTTTGTTTCGGTACTTTGAACTTTTCACGGATCAGCAAGCACAGCGACGGTCGAGATGGGGAACTGGTGATCCAATCGCGCTGTGTATCGAGGTTTCGCTGGTGGGGCAACTTCTTCTGCAGCCTTTCTAGTAGCTTCAGAAGATGAGTCTGCATCACCCCCTTCCTGATCGAATCGCTCGCCAGATTTCAGCTGAGTCGCACCTGCTTGGGAGGTATCCTGTGCCGCTGAACTCGACTGCGTGCCTGTGCCCACTTCTTCATCTTGATTCTCCTGTTCTCTGCTAGTAGCTGGACTATTCTCACTGTGTCGCTGGGGCTTCACTACAAAACACAACGTCACATCACCATGAATATTAGATCCCACGTCTCCAACAACACATGAATTTATCTTACAGAACGCATCAGTGGCAGCCTTGGCATCTTTTGGGAGATTGACGAAGCCCACGGACGAGCCGATTGTACCTCGGCATACCGACGGCAGTCGATGTAAATATCCATGACCGACTTCAGCTCCTAGGACACCGTCACCTCCCCATCGCTCGGTCGGAACGATCGACACGATACGCACTTGATCCTCAAGCGAGCTATGCCATACATCCCACACTACAGTCAGAAACCCTCTCCCCAAAAATTCATTGTTTAAGTCATGTACCCACTTGTACACATAGCACTGGAAGGACCCATCCAGAGCGTCCAGGATCTCATCATGCAGGTCCTCCGCATCCGCGAAAACACGCCCAGGTGTGCCTAGCAGATAGTCTGAATCTGCCCGAAGCCCCGCACGCTCAGCCGGCGACGATTCAGCCACATTCTACACCCAATTATTGTGGTTCTAATGAATAAAATTGACAACTATTGTGGCAAAAGTGGCGTGACAATTGTACGTACAAGTACGTGCAGCAGTTGGTCCTCAGCTCCTTCGTACGAGTCGAACCGGATAGTGACGCCTAGCAAGCCTTTTCCGGGCCACTTGCGACTAGGCGTGAGCTGCAGCTCCCGCGTGGTTTGCGCCTTGACGTTGAACACTTTTAGCTGCATGGGGCGATCTTCACTCTGCGCGATGAGCTCCATGAGCGTTGCATCTTTCGTGTCCTAAATTGAAAAAAAGCTTAGATTAGGTATGGTGGTCCAATGTGGCACAATGCCTAAAACCTACGAGTCGGATGCCATTCGCCTCGAGGATGAAGTCAAAGAAGCTCACAAAGCCCACGGTAGACGCCGGTGACTGTTCCTGGATGCCCAGCACGCGGAAACCGTAGCATTCGCCGCCCTCGATGGTGCCGTCGTCTCTACCGTCATGGCGGAGCTCCTCCTCCCCAGACAGAGTCGAGTTCTCGTTCCCCATTTCAGAGATTTAGGACTGTGTACACATTTGCGTACCTAATTCTACGTATCCAACCGAATTACAGCCAAACGCTAAGTACGATTGAATCAACTTCTAGTTTGTGGCATAAGGACGTTGGCAAAATGTGCACTACAGTATGCAAGGTTGTTTTGCGCAGTTCTCGGATTTAAAGTGTCTCCGCACGGTGTGCTAGGAAGAACGAAAGTTATTAGATAGATTGGTTGTTTCGTCACCGAACGTGCGCGCTGCTAGCTGCAGCCAAAGGTGTCTACGAAGCTATGTGGATGGGAGATCAGAAAGTAAAGCATGATTCTGCTCAACGCACAAAGGTACACGACCGCACGCGGTGCGAATCGCCATCCTCCGCACTCATACAAGAGGTGTCAGAATATAAAGCTATTCATCACTTATCCCATGAAGGCACACCAACAACATGCAAATATACATTCTCGGAGCGGAGAGTTCCTCAGGAAAAACAGCCAGTTTATATCCTCATTCTTCTTCGGACGGTAATTCCAAAACAAAGTTGGACATCACTGGAACCTCCTTGCGACCTAAATGTGTCCATGAACTCGAGACATGCCTGTACTTGCCAGTAGCAATTGTCAGAATGCCACCTGCATTGGGCTGGCAGATCAACACTCCCGTGAACACCAGTGATTATCGCACGCTCTGATTGGCTCGTGAAAGGGTAATTACGTTTGTAAAAACAAGGTGTGGTGTACATGATTGAAGTGGCATGTCTTACAGGCTCCATGCCAGCATGTCTAGCTTCGTCTCCTGGACTCAAAGGATTTAGTCACACAAGAGGAGCTCAAAACGATGCCTTGACGCGATATGAGCCCGTTGAAACATAGTAGCAGTACGTAGGCGCTACCCTGAGCATACCACGCTCGATAGTAAAAGCAGCGACACACGAGAGGCGACCACGTTAGGCTACAGTCGTGCAGCGAATTGCACTATGCCATGGAGTCGGCGGTGAGGACGTTCCAATGGCGACCAGCGTAGGGATTCGTAGCGCCCGTCGCAGTGCGAAGGGGCATGCACCGTTTCGGATCGCGCTGGTGCAAGATGATATAAGTTTCACACCGCCGTGTTTTCTCCTGCGGTCGAGAACGCGGCAGCAATCCTAGCAAAGCTAGCTGGGACAGCTTCAAGACGCTAGCGTGCCTGCAAATTTCTGCTTGGCGAACACGGTTGTCAAGAAATGCGATGTCGTTTGGTGATTCCATTATGCATCCAGCCATCGCATTCTCGTGAGCTACGTAGGCTGGACGTCTTCGCGCTGATCGTGGATCTTGCAGCAAGCTGCTGCTCATGCGCAATCCCGACACGCGACACGGACTCTGCAAACCGACGCTGCCAGTCAATTGAAGCGCTTGAAGCTCCATTGCGGGCAATCGTCTCAAGTCCGTACTGCTCGCGCATGACAGCGAGTGCGATCTATGGCAACTTGTTGTGCGTTTGATGAAGGCTGGCAGCACCACTTTATGGACACAGGGTTGGTACTATTGCATTCGGCAACTATCCGAATTCAATGATAGTACCAACCGGATGCAGCTCTTGCTTTACAATGCCACAACGTACCCAAGTGCTCGAGTGTCTCTGCCTTGCTTCGTCTCCAGTGGAGCAGCAAGCAACGGCGGCATTCACGCAAATGTTTTCAAATCGCCCGTCGAGCAGATAACTTGAGTTCAGTATGCGAGGACTTTTCGCAGCGCATCGACAAAGTGGTGCCAAAGCCAAATTTCGCACTTCAAATCCGCGTTCCGCGAATTTGCCGATTAGCTTGCCTGCAACTCAGTGTGGACCGCGGACTCGACACCAACAGTTCGCATGCTACAACCGCAAAATTTGGCGTTGTTTTTGCTTCGAGAGCAACCAGCTCCAAACCAGGATCCGTTTCACACGCGGCGGCCTGGCGATGAAAAGAGCAGGTTCAACCTTATTCTCTCGCTACGTCACACGTGGAAGCTCACGACGTAGTACGAACACTGCGACTGCGCTCGCTCAGCCGAAAAGTAGCTGATGTGCCGCAGTCCGTGACGGCAGCGAGAACCAGCCATTCTCTAACTCAGCAGGAGCTTGAATGAACAAAAAATGCAGGTGTACTACCTTGATGTTCCAAATACCGATCCCTCTGCCAATTTTCACTTGCACTCCAGATCGTCCGTTTGACCCAGAAGGAGTGATGGTCAAGATCTGCGACGGCCGTTTCCCATGAACGGTACCCATCCAGTGAGAGCCGCTTTCAATTATGGTATGGGCTCGCTCATTCACACATTTGCTCGCTTCCCCGTACGCAGGACGATCGATTCACAGCCGACCGACATGATGGCAGCCAAGCTGGACGACTACGTGATCCAGCGGCGGCTGGCGCCCGCACTCTTCGGCGACGTGCTGCTGTGCCAGCACAAGCCGACTGGCGACATGGTGGCTGTCAAGCGCGTGCTGCAGAGCGCCGCCAACGCGCAGCTCACGCTCGCCAGCAACAAGAAGGTGCGCGAGAACGTGGCACTCGAACGCGCACTGTACCACCAGCTCAACCGCGTAGGTGGTCACCGCAATCTACTCAAGCTACGCGACGAAATCGAGTTTGACGGGTATCTGTATCTTGTTTCGGACTTCTGCGCACGTGGCGAGCTATACGAGCTCGTGAGCTCCGCCGAGGACGGCAAGCTACCGCTGCCCATTATCACGAAATACATGCGCCAGATCGCCAGCGGTGTCCAGTTCCTCCACGCCAACGGCTTCGCACACCGCGATCTGTCGCTAGAAAACGTTCTGGTCACGGACGACGACCAGTGCCAAGTGTGCGACTTTGGCCTTGCCGCCTCCACAGCCAAACCCAGTCGCGAGACTGTAGGCAAGCTCTTCTATATGGCACCTGAGGTGCTAGCTGGAGTCCAGTACGACGCCACCAAGGCTGACGTCTGGTCGCTCGGTGTGATGCTCTTCATTATGCTTATCGGAGCTCCTCCCGTTGAAACAGCGTCGTCGTCGGACGCCAGATTCAGACTCATTACTAACAAGGGAATCAGGAAACTCATCGACCGCTGGGGGCTCACGAAGGAGCTGCCGGCCGCCGCTATTGACCTTATCGCCGACATGCTCGAGGTCGACCCGGAGCAGCGCATCTCAATGGCCGAGGTGGTGTCCCACCCGTTCTTGCTGCGCTCTAGCACTATCGCCTCGCCTCAGCGCGTTGCTCCGCCTAAGATGCAGCAGACGCGCGTCGCGTCGCCGGCCAAACAGACGCCGCAGACGACGGCCTCGTACTCGTCGGCGCCGTCGACGTCCATGTACTCGACGCGCCCCGAGTCGGACGGCATCGAACGCAGCGGCTGCCGCCTGCTGTTCCACAAGATTCACCGTTTCTTCTCGCGCCGTCACAACAAACGCGTGATGGCTGTGCGACGCGGTTCTGGATCATCAAAGCGAGCGCACGCCAAGCGCTTCGCAAATGCCGCCTGAAGGTGGCTAGGCCGTCGTTTACGTGGGCTCGCCGAGCTCGTGGCCGCTATCAACCGGCCACATCGCAACAGCCTGTCCGACGCATTCGATGGCCGCAAGACGCTGGACGTTGTGTATTTATTCGGGGCTGCTGGTGTCCCCGTCCATTTGTAAGAGGAATTATCAAAGTACTAAAAGTAGATAGACGTATGTACGCATAGCAATAAACAACTCAAAATTCATCCAACTACTTCGGATAGACGAATATACAGATGCCAGGAATTTGATAACACAGTTGCAACTTGCAAGCTTGGGGCCCTGGCAAATTGACGTAGTATCAACAACGCGTGTTTGAGGGTCATTTTGGTCTACACAGACCAGCAGAATGGGAATTCATGATGGCAAACTCACGGCGCACGGTTTAAGTACAAGTTTTATACAACGATAGAATTAGTTTTAGTAGCAATAGGCAGTGCGCTGTTTGCACCCCACGGCTGGAAGGCTTGCGGCGGGTGATAGTAACTGGCCTGGTCGTCTTCGTGTTCGTACAGACGGCTGCGCGCTTTGCAGTAGCACGCACATACCGACACGACGGCGACGACGAAGATCAGCACACAGCAACAAATTGCCAGCGCAATCTGCCATGTACTCAGGAACTTGTCATTTTCTACAGACGACACACCACAGAATCACGCTTGTCAATAGAATTTCTCAATTAACTGAGTAAGAGATGCATCTCCTTACCTTCGCTGTCTGCGTGGCTGCCTGTGGCATCACCCACGCTGTCTCTCGAGCTTGAGTGGCTATTCTCGGTAGGTGTGGAGTTGTCTTTCGAGCCCGTACTGGACGATGAAGTTGATGACGAGCCTGCATCTGTACGCAAACAACAGTGTTCAGCATCAGGAAGTAGTGAAGTATTCAGATTCCTGTCTTACCTGCGGTGGGGGATGGCGCAGAGGTGGCTGGCACGGGTGATGCTGTAGCTGTAGTGGCGGAAGGCGCAGTGGTGGCCGGCGCGGGCGACGGTGTGGCGGTCGTAGGTCTGGAGGTAGCGCTCGCCGATCCGCTGGTGCTAGCCGACGAACCGGTCGAGTAATCGCACGTCCCGCAGTCTGTGCCGTACGTGCATGTACCGTTACTGTTGACAGCGAAGCCGTAGACGACACCTTGTGTCTTCTCATAGCATTGGCCGCAGTTGCAGCCTCCTGCTCCCGTACGCGCTCCCTGTTGCGAGCCACTGCAGGTGCAGCCGGGTGTGCCACCGGGCCCGAATCCAGTCAACGTAGTTGTGTAGCAGATATCAGCGCATGCTGCCGCGTTCACTACAGTCGAGATAACGACGCATTAGCCCAGCAACGCCCCTCGGGTGGAGACACTTTTCGAGACCTTACTTACCCAGCACGAACCACGAGGAGATCGCCACATTGGCCAGGAGTGCCACGAAGATTGGCCACGACCGCATACTTCCAGGTGTGGCCACGCCGTCTGGCTAGCAGGCAGGCTTGTTGTCTCCTCGGAAGTTGCGATGTAGTCAAGCTTGAAGACGCGAGGATCAACGGACAGCGCCACATTTCAGTCATCCTCGAGACCTTGTGGTGCGCAATCGCACTTCCGCACTACCGAACTGTAAATAGGCATTTTTAGCCGAGACGAATCGACATCTGAGCCAGGAAGCTCGTTCGAAGCACGACCAAGCTCTATAGGGCCCATCGATCTTGGCATGGAGTTCCAGCGTGCCCGCCAGCACCTGTGCGCTAGGACACGGACATGGCAGTCCACGCTGCAGCGCTCGTTCCCATCGTTATCTTACGAGAAGCGAGGCGTGATGTCGTAGTGACACCACGCCGATCAAGTTGTCGGTTCGGTGTGCTGAGCAATACCCCGATCTTCAAGCCGTTCGCGTTGGACATCCCATCCAATGTCAAGATCGCCTTCGACACGGTGAGGACCGCTGCACGATGCGGCATGTGCGTACGTTTGCACCTACGGGCTAGCCAACCCGGGAGTAAGCGACGCCGAGACATGTCGTATCCGGTGCGACGCAGCTCGTAATGCACTCCTTCTCATTACCACGAATGCCCCCATAGAACGTTGTCACCTTTGTCGCGCATGTGGAAAACGCTGGCTGCTTCGAGGTTTCTGGTAGCTATTCCAGATTGAGAAGTGAATGTTCCATTGGGCCACAGTGACAGTCACAGTTACTTCAGTACTTGGTGGAGATAACTCGCCACTCTCCTCTTCAACCGCAACATCTTTTTTTTTTCAGACACATCCATACTTCCGAAAAATACGCAGGCGTTCACTTCGCACATGTTCAGTGTAAAAAGTTGTGTTGTGCTAACTTCGAACTGAAGCTTGTTTCGATGGAGAAAAAGCGTCGAACATCAAGCAACTTGTGCGTGAAACGTTAGAGCTTGAGGTGACTCGCAAGACAAACCAAGCAGCGTAACTTGCCTGCAGTCAAAGAACCAAAACTGCGTCTTTGGGGAATGTGCGCTGCGACGAAGCGGCAATAACGTCTGAGGCACTCAACCTCCCACTCTACGTGGCTGGTCCCCGGTATCCTCTCGCGTGCGCTTCGATGCTCTTCCAGGGAAAACCATGCCGCTGATTTGCCAGCTGCCGAATCGCTAGCGACCGTAGCTTACATGACCATTCACCCAGCTCATTTACAGAAACGGTAGTGGCACCCCAAGAAGCGACCTTATCTGAACTCTGCCATCCCCGAGCACTGCAGCTCAGGGGCGTCCACCCATCAGCTATCCTCATTTCCAAACTGTCATCGTCAAGAACAAGCGGTTAGTGTCCAACCCAAAGGCCCTCCACTGTATTGACACCATTCCAACCAATATGGGCCTTCTCCGCACCTACATGGACGCGATGTTGACCGCCACCTTCTCTTCCCGCGGATCCTCGTCTTGTAGTGCCACCACACCCAACAAGGGCAACAACAAGGCACTGCAATCTCCTCAACCTTCCCCAGAACCGTCACCATCGTCGGTATCCACTACCGTCATCCGGTCACCGCCCAAACGGTTATCAGACTTGGAGGTGGTGGAGACCTTAGCACCGGCACTCTTCGGAGAAGTTTTGCTATGTCTTGACACCAAAACTGGTCGCCAATTCGCCGTCAAGCGCGTGGATCTTCGCTGCGCTCGAGATCAGGTGACAATTGGCAAGCGTATCCGAGTTGTTGAGAATTTGCAACAGGAGCGTGCCGTGCACCGCAGACTCGTTGCTGCGCAGACCACTAATCTGCTGCTATTGGAGGAGGAAGTGCAATACGGTGGCAATTTATACCTCATTTTTCCGTTCTACTCGGGCGGTGACCTGTTCGACGTGGTGCGTCACAGTCCACTTGATGGTCGACTACCGGAAACTACTGCACGTCGCTATCTGCGCGACGTGGTGCGTGGTTTACTGTGCTTGAAGCAAAATGGTTTGGCACACCGCGATATTTCGCTGGAAAACATAGTGTTGGATGCTGAAGGCGTGTGCCACGTGTGCGACTTTGGTTTAGCCACTAAACATGGCAAATTCGTGGCCCCCGGTAGAGTTGGTAAAGCTTGGTACATGGCTCCAGAGGTTTTCGCAGCCAAGGACCCGTACGACCCGCTACAAGCTGATATCTGGTCACTTGGCGTGTTGCTGGCAATTATGTTGGCAGGAGCCCCACTTGTCGAAAAACCCACTAGCGACGACCGTCAGTTCCGTGTCTTGAGTCATGGCGGCGGTGTACGAAAGCTGCGTCGAGCTTTCCCTCGCAAATTGTCTGAAGAAGTCTGGGATCTGATGGAGAAGTTGCTGACTTTGGATCCACACAAACGTCCTACATTGGAGCAGGTGGCCGAACACCCCTTCTTATCGTCGAACTACCACCACAGTGTCAACTACGTCAACTGCTGTTCCAGATAAAAAAAATTGTTTGTTCAACCTGTCTTCATAATAAAACGTCGTATATTAGCAAGGGTAAAGCAAACGTTCAATACATGTACGTCCATTGATGTCCTCGTTCTCTTTTTCCTACCCCTTAAAAGGAGTTCAAAAGGTTTCTTGTCATTAAGTGTGTCTTGTAGCTGGTGGTTGCTGAGTCGATAGGAAGTAGGCGAAGGCGAGGAACACCAGTGCCCGCCAGCCGAAGAATACCGTAAGTAGAGCCGCCACTGCCAAGTGGATCTTCTGTACGGGTCTGGCCGGCAGACCCAGTACATTTACTGCCGGTATAGTCACAGTTCCCTCCAAACCCACTTGTCGTGCCAATCCCTGCAATGGTGAGGCTCCAGCGGCTGCAGGAGCTGCCCCAGCAGTGGACGGAGCTGCTGGCCCGCCGTCGTGCACAGACCCGAAGCGTCTTTGAGGCTGCTGACTTTGCTGAGGCTGTTGGCGCGCGCGCACCCGCGGGTCGTCGTCCGGTACGATCTCTCCGTTGATAATGTGCACCATGGTCGCTTGATTGCGGGTGATCCTTTTTGGCAAAATCGACTTCTTGGCCCACGTGGCAAAATGCAAGCTGCAGATCTCCTAAGACTAAGCAGAAATTGTATTGGAGGACTAGGAGATAGAAGTGACATAGGATTGGCAGAAAAGATCGTTTAGCGACAATTGATTAGCGGAAAAGGTGCAAGTTGAAGTGTATTGTTACATGTGCACAGTGCGATGAGAAACATGCTCGTTGGCGTATTGCAGTCCTCGTTGGCGGCGCTTAGCAGCGGAATCCGTTAATGCAGCATTGGCACCTCGTACTCGAAATGCTGGCAAAGCCTTGGCCTGGCCTCGATGGTCGAAAGATACCAATTTCTCCTGCATCAAAACATGGACGCCTTCTTTCGCCAAAATGCTGCGACGGTCGGCAGCGGGGCTTCGAGGTGTTCCGCATCGCGGAGACGAAGATACGGACGACGACGGAGAGCTGAATGGCCTTGGAGGTATCCGTGAAGAAAGACTCATTTCTTGTTTGCTGGTGGTAGGACTGGCACATCTAGGAAGCTGCGATGAAACCATACCAGGTTCTTCTGTTGTTAACTCTTGACGTGCCTTGAGCACAATGGCAGTGACATTGCTACTGGTCAAGAGAGCGATTGGAGCGATTGACTCATCTCTTTCGCTGACGTATTGCATTGCTCGACTGACGGCCTCGCGAACTGTTTGCGCTCCAAGCCGTTGTAACAATAACTGTAACATGTCGACGGATACGAGAGTTCGCACGTATGGCATAGTGCGTGTTGCAAGTTGAGCTTTACTCAGCGCTTCATGAACTCGTTTCAACTTGTGTGGTGTAAGATCGCCCAGTGTAAGCGTCAAACAGTCAATTTTACCACGTGAAAGGTGCTCCAGCATCTCTGCGAATTCAAAGTCGTCATTATCCCGCTCTTCCAGCTCCTGTTCTTGCCTTACTGGAATTACCTCAGCACTTGAGCTTGAACTCGATAGTTTATCCACAAACGACGTACTCGTGGCATTTGCTTTTGTTTCCGGAGTATCGTCGTTGTCTTCCTCCTCCTCGCCCTCAGCTTCTTCGTTCAGCGTTGGAAGACCATTTACTGGAGTTTTGGAACTTCTCACAATATCCACTGAGAGCGGACTGTCTAACGGTGCCACCGGTACCCCATTTTCGGCGGGCTGATCAGTACAAGTCATCGCTATTTTCCTTGATGCTGCCAGAATCGCTGAAAAGCTGCTCAGGCCTCCCGTTGCGACAACAGGTCTTTCACGTACATCGTCTTCGTTCGACTGGCTGTTGCTTTCGTTTTCAAGAGTCAAGGACGATTCTGTCACTTCGTTCGATGGCGACGTGAATGATGAAGCGGGGGACTGCAGATCGGCACGAGCTAATAGCTGCAGTTCCGCTAGCTGCTCCTGTGTCGATTGGAGACGATTTTCATTGTTACTACTGGGCTGGAGCTCCCCACCACTGCTTCTCCGTGAGTCCTCTACGACATCGATCGAGAGTTCCATTGTCTCCAACAGATTTCGACTCAAAGCCACCGCTTTGCTTAGTCGTTGCCTAAACCAAGCGTCGGTTGAAACGTCCTGTCGACCATAATTGGACTTAGTTAACTGCTTTGAGACGGCGGATAAACTCTGGGATACTTTCCAACTTCTGCTTCACTGATGAGGGCAGGAACGACGACATGCTGCTCGTTGTGAGCAGTTCGAATACATCCTCTTTCACACTGTCACCATTGTTGACACCAGTGTCCCAAGACGGACGGAATCGTAACTGTAACCCACTTGCCGCCAACGTGAGCTGAGCTCCATCCAGGAACACAACTCGCAAGTCTCCAGTTGAATCGATACATCCACTCCCAACACCTGCAATCTCGACTCCTTTCTGAGCTTTAATTACCGAAGATATGCTCCGCTCCTGATCCGGACGTAATGCTACTTGGTGAGGAACAGTGAGCAAGTTAGATCGGTATCGGAACGACTCCAGCAGCGACTCCGGTAGGGTGTCGTAATGAATGAACGGGAGTTTACTCGCCTGGCCACGCAGTGCAATTCGACGTAGCTGCATGGTTCGCAATGCGAGACACTGGCAAAACCGAACGAACGGTGGCAAATACGGACGCTGACTGATGCGTGTGGTAGATGACCGGAAAGAACTTGAAGCACTGAATCCAGCTCGCGCTCCACTCACACCAGGTATCTCGTATCGCAGCGGATCACCCTGTGGAGTTGTAGCTGTCAGCACCCCACTAGCTTGATCATAGTACGCTTCCCATCCGTTGGATACTTTTAATTCGTAAGTCGGTGGTCTGCCGACTTCAGCTGGCTCCTTACAGCTCCACTGCAACTGCACCTTTGCATCACTAGAGTGACCTTCGTGGCTTTGAAATAGCCCGAAACACGATACATCTTGCAGTTCCAAATGTATAACAACCGATACGATCGGTTCAACATCTCTCGAGACTGCAAGAAACGATTTTTCGTCAAGTTGGCTGTTCTTCTCCATTTCTCCGTTGACTTCTTTTGATTCGGTGTGGTCATTGAATGGAGTGGGCAGTGATAGCTCGGAGAGATCGCTATAGTCATCGATAATACTGTCATCGTCGGGGCTGAAGCTGCTGTCGCTACTGCTGGCCGCAAAGGCAAATGATATCTGAGAAAACCTCATCCTATTTGGTGGAGCTTCTTGCTGTCCACGCTGCATAGAGCTCGGACGACTGTCTCCGAGTGTACGCCGTCGTCTGGATGTTGTCATCGCAACGGACGAGCTGGAGGATGATAGCACAAACCCTTCCTCTTTCATCGCCCGAATACCTGCAGCTCTGCGACTTTCACGCAATTTTTCAGGAGATCGGGATGCTGCACGAGGGTGTGGAGGCACAGGTTGTGGCATACGCGGAAGAGACTTGCGTCTACCATTAGACTGAGGCGGCGCTCGTTTCTGAGATTGATCGCGAAGCCAAGGATGTAGCAGAATTTGCTGAGCAGATGGCCGACTGAGAGGATCCTTCAAAAAGTCAAATAAAATTATGAGCTTACAAAACTCTATGGTCGTAAAAATACTTTACTTACCGGTGTGAGCAATCGCTTGATCAAGTCGCTAGCAGACGAAGAAAATCCGTCGGGGAATTTGAGCGGGTTTTGTCCTGCATTTGCCACGTTCTCTAGTGTTTCACTCACTTTGCGTCCTTCAAACGGCGGCTTCCCGAGTAATAAACAGTATAAAATACACCCCAATGACCACACATCCACCGCTTCATCATACGGCTCGTCCTCTGCCAGCAATACTTCTGGTGCTATGAAGTTTGGCGTCCCACACATAGTCACATGATCATCTCTACACCAAAGCAAAGCATCATTTTAACACATACACAACTGTATCTCTAAAACACAATAAGCTCTCACCCGAGTCTTGCTGCAAGCCCAAAATCCGAGATTTTCACCTCACCCTTGTCGTTCAGCAGTAAGTTGGCGAGCTTGAGGTCTCTGTGGATCACGCCGCTGGCGTGTAAATACACGACACCCGCCACTACTTGACGATATATTTTCTTGACTGTCTGCTCGTCCACCTTGCGACCTGGAAGGGCCTTGACGACTGCTGAGAGGGACCTTCGAGCGCAGTGCTCGAGCACCATGTAGTAATTTCGAGCGTCCTCGAAGACGCTCTCCACGTGAAGCACATGCGGGTGTCGCAGTTCGGCGTGAAGCACCATCTCTTGACGGACTTTGCTCTCCAATTGTGCTCGCTGTACCAACAGCTTGTCGATCACTTTGATGGCTACATGCGCCCCCGAAGCCTCGTGTTCGGCTAGATAGACTTGTGCTGTGGCGCCTTCGCCTAAGAACTCGAGTAGCGTGTACTCCTGTGATCCAAATAGTATTTTACAGTTAAATAACGGTGTGGTGAAGTTTTTCTGAGAAGAGGTGAACGATATGAACGCACGGATATCGAGTGCGGTGCGCGGGAAGAAGTGTCGGCGACGTCCGATACATGTTCCATGGTCGTTCCCGCGTTTTTGTTCGAAAATAAAAACGAAATTAAAATTAATTTCGGTTTGGAAGTCATACTTAATCGAAAATAAGCTTAAATTCGGCAACTTCAACACGATAAATTTTCGCTGATCGTAATGAGTGTTTTAGAATCGCTTGGCGCGGCTAAAGGTGATGTGGGGACCTGTACGGTGATCTGTATGGTACAAGTCGTAAATGGGGCCAGGCGTTTGCTGCGAGCCGGCAGATCTAAGGCGCGCTTCCTTGCCGAAAGTTGGGGATACGGTTTGCTGGCACTCTTGGAATGAGCCCTTGAGCATGAGATTTGGTCCTGGGCCGATGCTCTTGTTGTGAAGTGGCGGACGTAGTGACGTGCCTTGTTTGGGTCCAGGAGAGCTTCGACCCATGACTGGCGGCAGGTCGTAGATTGGGCCTGGAGAGGGCGTCGAGTTCTCTTGCAGGGGAGTCCGAGGCGCATTCTCGAAAGCCGACGAGCCGGCAGATCGATGCTCCGAACTCACTTGTTTACCGCACGACGTTGCCGGTTCATATGAGCCTGGTCCAGCTCCGGGATCAGCACGCTTGCGAGCGAAGTCCCAGTCCTCACGCGTGCTGTTTCCAAAGCTCTTCTTTGGACTTGTACCGATGCTGGTGGGAAGTGTGTAGAGAGCATCTGAAGCAGCAGCACCTGCTTGCCACCGAAAGCGCTGCTCCGTAGGTATGTACGTCGCAACCGTGTGGTGAATGCCGTACTTGGACGGTGAGTCGAACAGAGGAGGATGTGTGCTACCACCGCCGCTGGTTCCGTTTATCGTTCCGCATTTCGTACCAACTTGAACGTCAAGTGTCATTTTTGCAGAGCTGCTGTAGCTGGAAAGACCCGATATGATCCCCCCAAGTGGTTCACTCGTCGTTTATCGCAGAAGCATGAGATCTCTGCTCCTGGCCATTCCGGTATCCTCAGTACCAAACTACCAACTCACTACTATTTTTACGTCCCGTCCTCCAACTGGTATGTAGAGCAACATGAGGACGAGTGGCCCCACATTTGCAACAAACACAATTGAACAGAGACAACTAGCCTATCTTGTAACTCTTCGATGGTGAGTTCAAGAAGGACCGATATTTGAGCCCTCTTCCTGCTGCTCTACCATCTACACGTCGCCACTTTCGCCACATCGCATCAATTGGAGTAGTCGGCTCGGACATGGGGGATTGGAGACAATCGTCAAAGTTCTGCTTCTCCAATTGTAATCGTTGAACTGTTCTTGAAATCGGTCGAATGGATGCTGGCATTGCCCACGATTGGGACTCTCTTCGCTTCATTGGGCTTAATAACTCCAGCGTAGACAGCTGTGACGGCTGCGTCTGGAACACCATTGCTGTGTGTGTAGCTTGTCCAACAACCGAGCGCAAGTACAATTCCTTCCAAGCGCTAAAAACACGTCGGTGAAATTCTCGTCTCCTCTTCGTGGCAAACGCCTGGAAAATAGAGCGCTGTTGCTGCTTGTGGCGCGTAAGCTGGGATTGGTGAGCTGCTATCAACATTTCAGTGCGTTGTTCAGCATCTTGGAGCAACATATCATATCGTTCTCGCTCTTGTTCAGCACATTCCCGCTGACTTTTGAGTTGCAACTCGAGGCGTTCCTGCTGACTGTTAACATTTCTTTGATGACTTTCAAGCAGAGCCAGCAGCTTTGGTAGCTCCGATTTAATAATTTCGTCGCGAAGAAACAAAATTTGCTTGCGTTCATTGGCACAAGCTTGTCGAATACGACAACACGCCTCTCTTGCTTGTGAGAAGCACGTCATCGCCTCCTTTTTGATGTCCTGGAGTCGAGCTCGAGTGTCGTTGTTGCGTCGTTCCACCTTAGCAACAAATTGTTGCCTCGCCTGGACAAAGGTTGACATCCAAACCAAGAAAGCACCGTGCAAGACAAACCGATTATCCCACATCTCTTGACGCTTTCGTCTCCAGTGAATAGCTCGATTTCGAGTCACCAGTGCGTGATTAACGTCACGCTCCAATGTCTGAATTCGTCCTTGCATCAGGTCTTGCTGCTCTCGGGATCTGGTGAAGTCGTTGAGCTGAGGGCAGAGTGACCTTAGAACACACAAAAATTTAAGCCAGGCACATTATTAACATACCGCCAGCTGCGTGCGCACTGCTCCAGCCTCGATTTCCTGCTGCTTAATTACCAATTGAGTCGAAAGTTTTTCAATTTCTGCAGTCTGCACATTACATTTCCTTAAGAAAATCGAAGTCCAAATAGGGATTCACCATATTTTACCTGAGTTTTTTCTCGCAAACTTTGCTCTCCACTCTTTGCAAAGAGCAATTCGTTCTCGTGTTTCGCATTCTCAAAACAAGTCCTGGCGTCGGACAACTACAACCGGACGCACCAAAAGCAAAATCATCTCATTAATTAGCACGGAGAATAAGAAGAGGATCACACGAGAGTGACGAACTAACCTGAAGGCTGAGTTGCTGTTTTTCCTCGATTAGGTAGGCACATTTATCATGGGCAACTTGAAGCTGACGATCACTCTCCTCGCGAAAAGCTTTGAATGTGCTTTCACGCTGTTGCGTTGCAAACCTTACGGTTAAACATTTTGTACGCATTCCATTAGAGAATTTCTCTAATCTCACCTTTGCAATTTCGAGACTCTGAGCATCAAGCTGTTCAAGTAGATTGCGGGCTTTGGTGTGTGCTGCACTGAGCTCCGCTTCTAAGCGGCACTTGTCTGCACGTAGCTTGGCGACTGTGAGGCGGAGCTCTGCCTCACTGGCTCGTCGAGTTTCCAAGTCACACTCGAACTTCTGCACCAACTCGCCGTGCGCCTTCATTTCACGACTGCGAGCATTTTCCACCTGCCACTCACCCAATTTGTCATCAGTTCGATATCCAAGATCGTGAATGACAAGGAATCAATGTTTCCGTTCCCCGTACCTGGTGCAGCCGCGTCTGCAAGGAACACATACACGCCTCGAGGCTCGACATTTTCAACCGGGTGCATGTAAACGAATAGCTATTTTTGCTCGATTTTTTCAACCAAGCTTCATGTTTTTTCGTAACCAAGTTGAAGTGATCTGAAGTGTAACAAGCCAACGAAGTGCATTTTTTTCACGTTGTGTCCGTGCACCCACTACTGTACATCTCGCCGAGATGAAATGCGAGGCGACTTCATCATCGACCTGCTTCATCATTTTCGCGTCATTGCGACGTTGCACAGATTTGACTAGGGTGGATGAGGCCTCCTGTACTACTGCTGCTTCGTTGCAGTGTATCATGAATCTGCCACGCATGCTGATTTTGCTTCACGTCGGACTATGTTGATAGCAAGGTGTCATCTGTTGCATTCACTTTTCATCCAATCCACGGACAAAAATATTTATTTTCCACCAATCACCTTGCTTTCTGTCGAGTTGCAGCTGCAAAAATTTATTTCTTGGCGCTGATTCCGCATTCTTCCTTTTCGCTCGTCGAGCTCAGCAACTAGGGCGCCTCAGCATGGCGGTGTTCCACTTGTATTCGGCACTGAACTTGCTATGGATCCTGTGCAACAGCGCATGCATCAACTTCCTGCAATTCTGCCTGTGGTGTCTTGTGCGGCCGTTCAACAAGGCGCTTTACCGTCGGCTCATGGGGTGCGCTCTTCCTGCGACCATCACTCCTTTTTCATTCACCACTAACCAATGACCATCACTCTTCTTTTATCAGCTCCATAGCACAATCACTCTGGGTAGACGTCACATCCACAAGCTTCCCACAAACCAAGCTCTCGGTCACAGGCGAGCTACCGTCGGACCCAACTAAGCCCGTGATCCTCATCGCGAACCACCAAGTGGACGCTGACTGGTGGTACATTTGGCAGGCCGCGCGCCACCAACAAGCGGCTGGCAACATCAAGATCGTGCTCAAAGACCAACTCAAGTACCTGCCCATCATCGGCTGGGGCATGCGCCTCTTCCAGTTCCTCTTTCTACGGCGCCGCATCGACCAGGATGCTGAGCACATCAAGAAGTACATGGGCGGCCTCATCGCTGATAAATTCCCCTTCTGGCTCGTGTTATTTCCCGAGGGAACGACCATCCACAGTGAATATGTGACCAAGTCACAGGCTTTTGCAGCTCGAGAAGGTCGTCCCAAGTTTGAGAGAGTGTTGTTGCCACGTACGACAGGAATGCAGATCATTCTGGACGCTGTGGCAGAGGCCAAACCCGATATTTACGACCTCACACTGGCCTTCCCGTCGTATTCCGGTGAAGTACCGACGTTCGATATGGGATATGGACGCAAAATTGATACTGAAGTCCCGTCGATGAAGTCGCTGTTGGCTGGGAAACAGCCAGTGGGACGAGTGGCGTTGCATTCGAGGAAGTTTAAGTACGAGGACGCAGCTACGGACTTGCAGGGATTCCTGGATGCACGTTGGAAGGAGAAGGAGGAAAGAATGAATTATTTCATCGAGCACCAGCACTTCCCGGGAACGGAGAACACAGTGGAGATGGATCTATCGGTATGTACGGAGATTTTATGGATGTTTTGAGTGGTAGGAGAGGCTAATGACTGGTGTTTTTGTGTTATTTAGACCTCGTTGGGAGCAGTTTTCCGGCTGTGGTTTGGCATCACGTTATCGTGTATTGTGCTGCCAGTCGTCATGATGCTATTCTTCCCATGTACGTGCTTGCTGCTTTTGTTACTATTGATTGATTCAAGACAACTGACCATACATGTTGATGCCGTTCAGTGTATTTTACCTGGGTCGTCTACTGCTTCGTGTACTCGATTTACGACCGCACCACGAACTTCTGGTGGCCTTACATTTTCAATTTGTTCGTGGAAACTCACGGTCACTTCAAGCGGCAGCAGGCCAAGTATCTGTGAGGTGGGCAAGAGCGCTCAACTAGCCGCGGATGCTAAGAATTCGACAATAGTGTTTCAAATTTGGTGTCGGTGCGTGATACCTACTTGAAATTTTAAGGCCTCACTCTTTTATTTTTGAAAGAGTGGAAGCGAAAATTCAAAGCGTGGCGATCATAGCCACACCGAATTAATTAAGTGGACGGTTTGTCTGCATGAAAAAAATATTGTTATTCTTTTGTGCTGGGTCTGGTACGCACACAGTTGGAGTCTATTCGTCGTCATCGTCCGAGCCAGCCCAGCGTTGGAAGGTGAGTACGAATTCCTGGAACGTAATGGTGCCGTCTTGGTCGAAGTCCAGCTCCTTTATCCGCTCGTCTCGTATGGCTTTGGATGAAAAACTACTTTCCATGCGTTCCAGGCGTCTTGGCGAGTTTGGACCTGTCGGGTTTTGCCGCATTTGCTCCAGTACTTCACTCGTTTGGATGGTGCCGCTGGCGTCGTTGTCGAAGAGCAGATACGCGGTGACCATGAGATCCAGAGCTTTGGCGATGAGTTTCGACGCGTTCCCTTGTTCGGCTGGCTCGTCCGGAGGAGTAACTAACGTCACGTCCTCGGGAGCGTGCACAACGGAGTCTTTGATGGAGTCAAAATTGGTGATAAGACCCAGCAAATGTGCGATGGCAAGCGATACGACGAACTCGTTCTGGCTCAGCGAGTTGTCCCGCACCATGTCGGACTCGTAGAAAATCTCCGACACGTCAGTCTCTTTGATATGAGCGCCCATGGCATTGAGCGCCGCCTTGAGGCCCTCGAAGTCCAGTCCATCTTTTTCAGCCTGTACAAGTGATCCAAGTTATGAGAGATCGACCATTATCAAGCAGGCGAATGGACTTACGTTGGCAAATTGCCGATAGATGCTGCGGAGAGTAGTGAAGGCGTCTCTGACCAAGGCGAACTGGAGAACGATGCGCTCGAAGTGCATGGCTCGACCTTTCTTAGGGTCTGCACGTCGAGTGAGGTTGAGTTGACGTAGTGTGGCGATGATACGGGCGTCAATCGATGTAGGCTGCTTGGTGGATTCACGACGACCATCACTTGCCGGTCTGGCCTTGTCTACGTGGCTGCTTGCACCGCGGGGTGAGGTGATACTGGCTCTTGCACTCCTCAAAGATCTAGTCACCGCGGGCTTTGACACTCCACCGCCCATGATCGATCCGTACTAACTCGAGATGGAAGGTTGAACAGGTTGGCAGCTCAAGCGTTCACGTTTTGTCCCCACGACAGGCAGAGCAGCTCTGCGGAAAAAGAGGAACGTCCTCGGTCAGCAAGAGAAGAACTCGATATAACCATATTTATAGCGATTTTCGAGGAAAGCAGCCCAGTCAAACCTCCAACCTTGAGGAGCGGAAATAACCTGCTCAGATTGAGTTCGCAAAGGTGAATCCGAATTTTTTTAATCAGGGTGCTCGACATGAGATGAGTCTCTGTTTTGAGGACTAAATCTTTGATTAGCGTTGGTTAACGATTGTTAGTGGTTTCACTTCGGTGGACCTGAGGGCATGAGTGGGGCGAATCCTAGAGCTTTTATAGCTTTTGGGGCGTATTCGCGTATCGTGCGATAGCCTTTATTTTAGGTCAGAAACAAATTAGGTCACAGCCATTTGGTCATGTGACCACAAGCGTATGATCACATGTGGATATCAACAGATGCAAAGTGTCCATTTATTAGTAAAGCTGAATGCACTGAAACCATTCTTAGAATTGCAAACCTAGCTCAACGTGTATGAAGACTTACAAGACCTCTTCTTGCTCAGCGCAGTCGTCGTAGACAAGTTCCAATTCTCCATCCGACAAGTGGGGGTCCTCCTCGTCAGTACTGGAACTGCCACTATCATCGTCGCTCTCAGAATCTGTAGCTGATCTTGGAAACCGAAGACCAGCCCAAGTGTACCCAAGTTACATGAAGAGTGACCTGTAATACCTGGTACATGGTACCAGGTGCTCTAGGAGCCAATCATTGCATATCTACATAGCTTCATTATAGGTGACTTATAGT